GACATTTTTGGTACACCTACGTTGAGTATAATAACAAAAATAATTTTTTTTTTCGTTAGTTCACTTAATGAAAATAAGTAAATGATTTATATTATGAATAAAAAGATTATAATTTAAATTAACAAAATTAAAACTCAACGTTTATTTTGTTATAAAGTTAAAATTCTGAATTTTTTTTTTGTGGGTAATTTATCCAATTTTTTTTTTTTCAAAAGCTCGAGACAAATCACTAAAAAAAAAAAAAAAAAAAAAAAACATAAAACATAAAATTTTGTAAAAATGTCCAGTAAAGACAAAAAAAAAAAAAATTAAAAATAGAAGTTTTTTTTTTTTTGCCTTTTTTTGTGTGTGTGTGTGTGTATGTCTTTAGTGAACTTATTTTGGATTTTTTCAATATTTTTGTCCTTCTATCCTAGACAGACTGAAAAGCAAACTATTTTAATACAAAATTTAAAAAATACTAACAAAGAGTATAAATTACAAATACATCTCTTGAAATTTACTTAAAATAAGGATTGCCTCCTATGGTTTTAAAAATTATATCTCACCTCTTGAAGTGTGTAATTGTATAACAAATAACCTATTTTATTAATAAATAATTATGTTGATTCACAGTTTTTAATGATATCAAAAATATATTTTAATTCATAATTTAGATATTTTTATAATTGTATAGAAAAGTAGTTAAATTTTTTATTTTTTCTATTAATTCTGTTAAATAAAAAATTAGAATAAATGGATATTTGTAATTTATAAAATTATAGAAGGCAATACATATTTTAAGCAAATAGTAAGAGATATATTCGTATTTCGTCCTAATAAAAAAAGTTAAGATAAATTATAAATACGTCTTTTAAATTTACTTAAAATACAAATTGCTCTTATAGTTTTAGAAATTACATCTCGACTTCTGAAGCTTTTTAATTTCATAACAAAAAGTATAAATTATAAATACATCCCACTACAAGAAATAACAGTTTTGCCGACCAAAATATTAGCCGCCAAAGGTCGCATTTTTAGTCGTCAAAACCATTTAGCGACTAAATTTTTTTGTAGCCAATTTAGTCGCCTAAACCCTATCGGCGATTGTTTTAGCGACTAAACATGTGTTTGGTCGCTGAAAGTGAACCTTTTGGTTACTATTTTTTTTAGTCGGCAATGTTACCTTTTAGCTACTAAATTTTATTTGGTCGGCAAAATTAAATGTTTGGCTACTAAATTATTGGTCGCCAATAGTCAATTATATAAAATTAAATTATACATTTACCGACCAATACTCAAGGAATCGGTGACCAATTTAGATATTTTTAGATTTTTTAGATATTTAGATAATTAGATAATTTAGATATTTTTATTAATAATTAAATTAATAATTTAGATACTCAAGGAATCGGTGACCAATTAAAATTAAATTAATAATTTAGATATTTTTATTATTATATAGAAGAGTAGTTAAAAATTTTATTTTTCTATTAATTTTGTTAAATAAAAAATTAGAATAAATGGATATTCTTAATTTATAAAATTATAAAAGGTAATACATATTTTAAGCAAATACTAAGAGATATATTCGTATTTCATCCTAATAAAAAAGTTAAAATAAATAATAAATACATCCATAAAATTTACTTATAATACGAATTGCTCTTATAGTTCTAAAAATTACATCTCGGCTTCTAAAATTTTTTAATTTCATAACAAATAACTCATTTTATCAACAAATCATCAAGTCTATTAACAGTTTTTAATGATGTCAGAAATATATTTCAATTAATAATTCAAAAAATTTAGGAAAATTTGGCTATAAACCCCATTTACCTTCCTTTCATTGTTAAAAGGACTAAGAAACAAATTATACTTTCTAAACCCCCTCATAATTATAAAATCTTGCATAAAGGACAAAATTTATTATTTAAATATTTTATTAGACTATTATACTTTCAACTAAATTTTCCCACACTCCTCATCCACTCTCTTCCCACCTTCTCTGTCTTTCTCCTCCCTCTCTCCCTTCTCTAACTCCTTCAAGCTTCAGATCTAGAAGCTTCAGACCTCGCCAACGCTGCCGGCGTCATCGTCATCACTCTCCTAGCCAAGTCCGGTCAGTTGTCAGGTGAAACTCTAGCGATCAACAATGCCGAAACTGATCTCTACGATGAACTCATCAAGAACATTGGGAACGAAATCAACTACGAGACGAAAAATTGTCCTCCGGTGTCGGAATCAAAGGAGATCGTCTACGAGGAGAAACAGATCGTCTCTGAATTGATCGCTGTTACTCCGAAGAGCAATGAATTGATCGCTTAGTTTTGAATATATGTGTGTATATATATATATATATATATTTGTATGTGTGAATGTTGTTGAACACATGTATTTTTTTCATTGAGATTTGTGATTGTTGATCGAGTTTTAGAAGTTTTTCTTCTCAATTAGATATGTTGATTTGTTGATTAATTTGTTTTGTTTTGTTTTTGTTTGTTTGTTTTTTTTTTTTGAAGTTTTTTTTCTTAATTAGATATGTTGATTTGTTGATTAATTTGTTTTGTTTTGTTTT